TGTAAGCTTCCTTTAAGTACTGGAAGGGGCTTTAAGATCTCTCCAAAGCCTTCTCTGCTGCAGGCTGAACTGTTCTCTCTCAGACTGTCCACACAGAAGAGGTGCTCCAGCCCTAGGATCAGCTCTGTGGCCTCCTCTGGACCTGCTCTGACAGGTCCATGTTGTTCCTGTGCTGAGGACCCCAGACCTGGATGCAGCACTCCAAGGCAGGTCTCATGAGGGCAGAGGGGGAGAGTCACCTCTCTCAATATGTGCTGCAGCCAACCTGCTGTGTGAATTAAAAAAAAAAAAAACAAAACAAAACATTTTATTCCTTTCCCTTCTTTCCCTTGTGGCACACATGGGTATTTGAGCCCCCCAGGTGGGACCTTCCTGATTTCTATCCCTACAAAATACCTCTTGTAAGACTTCCTGATGGTTAACTGCAGGCCATGGCTGCACGTGGCACTGAACAACATCTTGAATTGTAGCTGGAGACCTGGTAATTGAGTTGCTTGTGTCCCTTCAGATGGGGAGCGTGACCAGCTGTTGTTATGTAGTCTCTCCTTCAGTCCTTCTGGGAAATCACACTGTGATTATATTTCTGGCTTAAGAAATTTTTTCCCTAATCAGACTGGGCCTCACAAAGAGGTTGCCACTTAGTGGTAATTACTTGCTTTAGAAGCTGAATGTCTCCTGAGGATTGCAAATAGCGGATTATCAAATTAATTAGTTAAACCAAGATGTGCTTTTGTGAAGCCAAGACCTGCTTTGCTTGTGATCTGAAATAAAGGTTTAAATGTTATTAAACTGCATACAACCTGTTCTTGTCTCCCTAATGGGGGGAGAGAGCTGGTTCTTTCCTGAAGTGTAGTTGGTACAAAGGGCTGCTTTCACCTCTACTTGCTGCATCACTTGTTGCTTTTCTTTCACAAACCCTCTTTTGAGCAACATCTATCCCTGGTTTTAAGGCTTGTTCTGGGTGGACTTTAATGCTCTTTCTTGGAGGCTTCCTCTGTTTTTGTGGCAGCACAACTGCCAGGTTGAAGGGATATAGGATTGGAGCTGGACTTCAACGATCCTTGTGGATCCCTTCCAAGTTAGGATGTTCTATGAGGGTTCATTGTGGATAGCTTGGTGGGATGGTAACATACCTTTCCTTTCAGGGTACAGCTTAATCCATGGGATGTCTGCATTGCCATGTCTGTGGGCATGGGAGCTGGTGGAGAGCCCCAGTCTGGTGATGAGATGCCTGGAAGTGGATTCAGAGACATCCACTTATCAGTGGGTTAGCAGGAGCCATATACCCTGGAGTAGTGCTCTACCACAGCCCATTCCCAGGATCTCCATTCCCTCAGAAGTCTCTGTGGCCACAGGAGGTTCCCTGTGCTGTGCTGAGCACTGCACCAGTGACCACTCAAAGCTAACATGGAGCTCATGGGGGTATTTTCCTAAGAGCTGTTGGCCACAGTAATGTAATCATCCTGCTAACATCCATATTGCACAACTTCCCCTAGGTCAGGAGATGTCCTTATCTGGCATCTAAAACATCTGTCTTGTGTTGTTTCCAGCACAGCTGAATTCTATTCATAAAAGAATTGAGCATTTCCTGATTTGCACAACCGAAAATAAGCAGAACTCTGCTAAGTGTTGACCCAAAGGCAGAGGTCCTTTCCCTGCCTCCTACCTCTGTCTGTGCTCTCTCCCAGCTCTAGGCTGTGGTACTGCTTTAGGCCCTTGAGAAATACTGCAACTCCAGGAAAGGAGAAAGGAAGAGAAAAGAAAGAGATGAGAGTCTGACACTGGAACCTCTGAAATTTTCAGAACAATTGTACTGATCCCTTTTCTTTCAAATCTGGAGAGGCCCCACAGACTTCAGTGTCAAACTCCTAAATGTCAGCATTTGCTGCCTTTTGCTGTAATTCACCTCTAGGACAGGCTGTGCTTAGCAACGGTCAGCTGCTGCTTAAGGTGGGTACCTTTGGAGTAAAATTGCCCCTCAGTCCATGCAAAGGAGCTGGATCTGCTGGATGGGAAGCTGGGGCACTCAGATCCCTGCCAGCCTGGATGACAGCAGCCTTTTGCAGTGACTGCAGCAATTAAAGCAGCCCTGAGGAAGGCGTGAGGAGCTGCTCCTGCCAGGAGACAGAGTGAGACTGTGCTGGGAACAAGCCTGGCATTGTTGGCAGCCTCTGTCAAGAGGGGCTTTTTAACACCCACTGAAGTGCTGGCTACAGCTGTCTCCCATGTGCTTGTGCGGGAAATGGATCTACAATGCAGCAGAGGGAAAGGCCACTTTGCAATTAAAAAAAAAAAAGGAAACTATATTAGGAACCAGCCATGAGTGCACAGCAGCGAGATGTTCCCCTCAGCACCGAGCCATGGCAGAGGAAATCACGTCACTGCCTTGGCTGGGGTGGGGTGAGCTGCACTCAGGTTCCTCAGCCTGGAAATCCATATGGGGGAAGGTGCTCCTGAGCTTTAAGTGCAGTGTAGGAAAGGGAGGAGGTGTGAGATTGGGCTCTAAGCTGCTCTTGTGTTTGGCAGCCTCTATAAATGGCACCTGCCAACTTCCCTGCATCCTTCTGAGTGGTGTTGACTTGAGAGCTGGTGGAGAGCTTTCTTTTGTCATGGGAAATGGGGTAGGAACAAGGCTCTGAGCACCTCTGTGTTGCTTTCCTCTTCTGTTTATGGGGATGCTGCAAGCTCCTAAACCACTTTTGTCTTTCTATGAGAAAATTATCACTTTTCTCTTTCTGGCCATCAGAGAGCTGAAGTTAGGTGGCTTAACAGTATCTTAGCAAGTAATTCAGAACTAAAGGAGATGACAGCCTTGTGCTCCCAGGCCTGTGCAATCCACCTGAAGGAGACAGGAAAGCCAAAGGCTGCTCACCTTGGATCTGCTGCCAAAGGTCTGAGTGTGGGAGACCTGACCAGTTCAGTAACAGCATGGGAACAGGTTCTCTGCTCCACCCCCGTCATCACCATGGGCTGTGGGGATGTCCCATGGCTCTGCATTGCCCTTTGTGCTGCCTGGGGAGCACATGTCTCTTTTTCAAAGCTGAGGTAGCTCCTGGCTTGTAGTAGGCCCCCTGAAGGAGCAGGAGCTTTGGCCTGCAACTGGAATAGCCCTGAAGTTCCCAGGCTTGTTACCCAGGCTGCTGATTACCAGACATTTTGAGACTCCAGGTCTCTATTTGGAGACTTGTTCCTCTGCAGAACCCAGGGTAATTGCAGTGACCTGTTTGCTGGATAAAAATAGTTGTGTGCAAGGCTGGTGCAATCACACACAGTATAATTTTTGAAGAACAATGAATAGCATCTGATCCTTGTGGGTCCCTCCCAGCTCAGGATTTCTCTATGATTCTGCAATTTGTGTTGCCCTGGGCAGCCATGGCCTCTTGAAAGGAAACATTCATGTAATGCTGCAGTTGTAGAAAGAGTACATAAAACTGTTCCTACAGTTTTCCATAAAACACCTGGCTGTGAGAGGCATGTTGGATCTCTTCTACCTCCTTTTATTCTGTGATGGGGATATGCCTCCAACAGAAAGAGCCTGGTACTCCTGATAGCACAGGGCTTGTCATGTGCACGCTGCAGAGACATCACTCCTGGTGCTCCCTCCTCTCTGGGAGTGGGCCAGTCCCTGGGGAGACTCCAGCAAGCACCTGCAGGAGGATATTGCAAAGGTCAGGCAAATGCAGCCAGGCTCACTGCGTGGGAGAGGTGCTGGAGGAACAGATGAAGGACAAAGCTACTCTGCAAAAGCAGCCTTGTACAGACCCTGAAGCTGTGGTCAGAGGCTCTGCTGGGGAGGTATGCCAGGCTCCTCATCCTCCTGATAGGAGTATGAGGGGGAAAGAGGCTCTCTTGCATGCACAGACAAGATCTAAGATCTCAAATTAGTTGTTGCAGATGACAACAATCAGGTTGTGCCTGTGCTGGGTTGTTAATACTCGAGGTGGCAGGGATGCTGTCCTTCACCCAGTTTGGCATTAGCAACTGCTGTCATTTGACATGGGCACTGCCTACAGATGCTGTGGGGAGAAGGTGACAGGTTGTTCCATGGGAGAGCCTCTGAAAGCCTAGGCTTTTTGAGAGCCAAGTGCTGAACAGTGAGGCAGCTGCTCAGCTCTGGTCACTGTCAGTGTCACAGCCCCTTTTAGCAGGACATCTCTTTGGCTTAAGGGAATGCAGGAGCACACCAGGCAGCCGGTGGATTGAATGGATGGCTTTGGTTGGCTGCTCAAACTCCTAGTTTCTGGTTGGGTCTGGAAACACGTGATGAGGCCATCATATGCAAAAGGGTTTTAGGGCAAACTGTTGTCAGTCCTCCCTGGGAGAGGAGTATCTGAAGGTGGTCTTGAGTTGCTGGCCCTGTGGAGCAGGGTTTGGGAAGGCTGTGGGACTCTGCCCCTTGAGCCAAGGCAGCAGAGGCATTGGCAGCAGTTGCTCCATCTGCAGCAGGCAAGGACCCTGTGCTGTTCTGCTTGTCCATGCAGGAGAAGGAGATGTCTTCCCTTCTGCTGTGGGTCTCACATCCTGCCTGAGTCACCCTGTCTCTTGGGGATGGATTAGTTTATGTGACCTCTCCATAAGTGGGGACAACCAAGTTCCAGCGCTGTGAACTCCTTGATGGAGGGTCAGAAACCCTGCACTGCTCAGGCTGGGGAGGCAGTTTCTGGTCCCAGGCCCTGCATCTCGTGCCCAGGTTTTGCCTGTGTGTCACTTCCCGCCCTGCTTCCCGTTACACAAAGCCTTTGTGTGTCAGCAGATCCTAGGATGCCCCGCGGCACCTGCCTCTCTTCTCTCTCCGCCTCTGTGGCTCTGCCCTTTCCCGTTGTCACTTCTGGAGGCTGCAGCCTGCCTGTTGGGTGACCTTCTCCACTGCTCGGGCAGCATTTTGGCCCCTGGCCATCTTAAACAATTATTGGAGGGGTGGAGAAACTTGCCGTGTTAAATTACTTACTCCTTTGGGAGGGGGTGAGGTCTCTACATCTCTTGCCTGATCCCCATGCAGTTTGTTGCTGTTGCCTGAAGCGGTCACTGCTCTCTGTTTTCCTTCTAGAAGTTAGAAAAACAATATTTCAGAGCACTCTCCCTGCATTTCTCGGTATTTTACTTAACCTGCGGCGGCGCCTCAGGATCTCGTGGAGTGGCGAAACTTCCCTGGACTTAGAGAAAAACAAGCCGAGAGGAGGCAAGGGGGTAGGACGTTGCTGGAAACCTCTTTGGGAAGCTGGAGACCTTCTCGGGATGCCTGTCTTACTCTCCTCCAGCCGCTATTCAGATGTTCCCGGGCCAGGGCAGCTCCCTGCCCCGGCGTGTCCGCACTGAGCGGCTCCGAGGGGCGCGGAGAGCCGCGGTGCCGTGAGGGCAGCCCGGGAGCGCCTCAGGCTCTGCCCGTGTCCCAAAGGTCCCGCAGGGCCCGGGGATGCCGCACCTCGCTCTCGCTATGCCCCTGAGCCGTCCCGCGCTGGAGTTGGCTGTCAGAGAAACCTTGGAGGTCCCCTGCTCAGCCCCGGTAGTGTCATGAGTTAGATTAGTTGGAGCTGTGCTGGGGGCGGTGAGGGCTTGGATTACAGTCCAGAACTCAAAGTGCTTCGGTGGTTCACGTCGGAGGGGAGAGGAGACGCCCCGTCGCACACATGGAGGAAAAAGAGAAAAAACGCTGCCTTTGGAAGTGAGGGGGAAGAAAGGAGGCCGGGAACATGGTAAGGAAATCTCTGCGGAGGGTTCTTGCCCTGGGCACGGTGCGGGACGGGGCTGCTGTCGGACAGCCCGCCCGGAGCCAGCGCACGGCGCTCATGCCGGGAGTGGGAAAGAACTCCTTTGGCATTTCCCGTTACTCGAGTGGCACACTGCCCTCCTGGTGCCAGCCCGGGGCGGCGGCTGCAGGGACACAAACTCCTTGTTGGCACTGACCCTGCGAGGTGCCTGTCTATCGGGCACAGCGCTGGAGCGAGAAGCCTGGATGGGTCAGTTCGGGCAGAGCCTTGGCTTTTGTGCTGCCTGGATGCTGGGCTCTCCTCCTGCCCTCCCTCTGCCAGTCCTGCTCTGTGGCTCTGGGCATTGCCCTCTTGCAGAGCCTTTCCCCTGCTCAGAGAACCCCTGGAGCTGGGCAGGGATGTTCCTTTTGTGTGTCAAGTTCTGCACCTGGGGATCTTTGTTTGGAGAGGGGAAAGGATGGTGAGCCCAGTGGGCAGCAGAGCACCCAGACTGCTTGGGAGTGGCTGCAGGGCTGTCCCCTGCCCAGTGACACTGGCACTGCCCTGCAAACAGAGGTGCCCAGCCCTGGGCTCTCAGTAGCTGGAGGATCACTGACTCTGTAGTGACATCCCACTAAGCACCAGTCCAGCTTCTGATGGTTTGATCCTAAGCTCAGGCTGAGATCCATGAGCCCAGCAACCCCAAATATCCTGGAGGTGTCCTACTATGTTAGGGGCTGCTTCCCCACAGCAGAGGGAACAAAATCCATGAGGAGGACAAGCAGTTTGCATTGCTGCTGTGCCTGACAGTGACTTGCCCTTTAAAAGTTCAGCTTCTGAGCCTGCAGAAACTTGGCTTTCATTGAGGGATGAGTTGAATTCTGACTTCTGCAAGTTGAGCTAAGTTTATAGACCAATATCTTTTCCCTTTACTACCCTCCAGTTCCTCTGCAGAGAATCCTGTGGTGCTCTTTGCCCTCACATGCCTGTCAGAGCCATAGTGTGCTCTCCTCTGCTATTCCTCTGGAGGCATCTTGTTTCTACTTCTCCATCCCAGTCAGAAGACCTCTTTCCCTCACCCCATGCCCAGTGTGTTCTTGGCAATTTTTGGTCTATGCAGGTTTTATTTATGAAGCTGAAATCAAAGGAGAGCACTGCTTGGGGTTGTGCAGGGTTGGGCCATCCCTTGCAGTCTCATGGGCTGCATTTTGCCACATGGGCTGGAGCAGTGCTTGTGAAATTCTGCTCTTGGAGGCTGGAGGCAGAGACTGCTCTGCTCCTTCAAGCTGGAGGTGCCTTTCTGATTCCCAAGTGCTTCAGCTCCTCTCCTCGATGTTGTTTAAATGTGTGATGCAAAAGCTGTCTGAAGCAGGGTGAGCCTTTGTGAGGAGCAGTGCCATGACCAGTCTGGGTGCTGGCCATTCAAGGACTGTGTATCACTGCTGAGGAGGGATCCTGTGCCTCTCAGGGGCTGAGTGCAGCTGGAAGGAATAGGAACCAGAGGCCAAGCTGCACCAGACCCAGCACTGACTGCTGGCCACATTGTGGACTCCTCTGGTCCATGGCAGGTATCTGTTCTCAATGTTGTGGTAGACCAATCTACATTTTGGGAGGTGCATTTGTGTGAGCAACAAAGTTGTGACTGTAGCTCCAAGCTGCTCTGATTAACTTGAGTTTTTTGTGTCCTGGTAAATCAAACAAACACTGCAGGCAAAAGATTTGGATCTCAGTGGATGTGTGTCAGTCTGCTGGCCTGTAGGAGAACTTCCATGGCCTCCAGCAGCCTGCAGGACTCTTGGAGACTTGGCTCCTGATGGAGGTCTGGCAAGGCACCACTGCTGGCTGCCCTGCTCTGTGAGACAGGTGATTCATTTTCATGGGGTTTCAGTGTTAGAGCTGATGTGTGTGTGGGTACATAAGGTTGTGGCAGCTGAGATGCCCAGAACACCAAATGGGTGAGACAGCTTGGGCCAAAGTAGCCCACTTCCACCAGAAGTGACTTCTGGAGCTGTGCAAACCCCATGGTGAGAGCAGTGCAGGAGTCTGGCTGGGCTCTGTCTACTTTGCTCACCCATCATGGCTTTTGTGACTTGGGATCTATCTCCATTCCCTGGATTCACCTTTCCTGGTGCTTCCTCAGAGAAGTTCTGGTGGCACCTCTATGCTGGTAGGAGAGAGGATGGATTTCAGCAGAAAATAGGGTCTTTCTTCCTTCAGTTATGTCTTCTCCCAGGGTGGGAAGGAAATGAGTCTGGGAATCACAAAGAGCTTTAAGCATTGGGGCTCTTCTTTCTTTATTTCTGTGCCAAAACCATGAGCAAGATTTTGGAACACGGACAAAGTCCAGAGACATAATCCTGAGCACATGGAAGCAGTTTGAAAGCACCTCCTCTGGGGTAAAAAGGTTGACAATTTGCATTTTGCCCAGCTTATTTTCAAAAGCTCTGGGCAGGTGAACATGTTGTTCATTGTAACAATAAAAATAATGGCTGAATGCAGGTGACAGCCCAGCTGCATCCAGGTATCTCCTTGTAGAAATTGCCAAGTGTATTCTAGGGGAATACCACATGGGAATGGGAGACAGCAGATGCTTACAGTGAGACAATCCAAGGAGGACTCTATGCTGTGTGTCAGCATTATTTTCTGAAAGCCAGCATCCTGTAGCACAGCCCCTTCTGGCAGTGCTGCTGGCCAGCTGCCCCCATGGGCAGTTGGCTCTGAAGGAATACCTTGCTATACAGAAGAGATCATAACATGAGAGCCTTGTCAGCATCTCCTGGCTGGTCACTTCAGACAAGATAGCCAGCATGTCTACTCTAAATTCTAGAGCACAGGCACAGTGTCAGCTCACAGAGCCTCATTTTCTAGTTGCATCTCAAATGTAACCCTGTCTGCAACAAATCTGTGTAAAATTTTTACCATCCTACAGGCTGTGCACAGCCTTAACCTGAGCATTGATGCTGAGTATGGGTGGAAGTCACATTACAGGGGCTACAGGTTCCTTTAGCACTGAAGTGTTGAAACAACCCCTGTTGAAACAATCAAGGTGTCCTGCAGAAACTATAAACTGAACCCACCTGTAGGCACTTGTACCAGAGCACTTTTTGTTCCTGTTCTTGGCTTGTGCATGATGGAACCCCCTGTTCCAGTCCTGCAGAGCTTAGTGTCACCAAGGTCTGAAAAAGTGAATGGTAGCACTGGGAGCAGATGTGTTGCTGACTGAAGAGCAGTAAAAAGCAAGGAGAGCTTGCCAGGGTGAAGCTGCCCACTTCTGGCCATGGGATGCTCTGTGTTTTTTGCACCTGGTTTGCAACTCAGAGAAGTGAGTAGACATGCCCTTGTTGATTCTGAATGTTTGGCCATGCTTATACCTCTCTGCCACACCAAGTGCCTCACCTCTGTTGGCTCGCTGAGTCTTTCATTAAAATATTAACAAAAAATGGGGCCTTTCTTGTGGTAAGTGCTGGTTTCATATGTATCCTATTTTTTGCATCACTGGACACCAAGCTGAAACTTCCAAGATCAAAGCAGAACAGAATGAATCTGAAAATCTTTCTGTCTGCTCAGATTTGCCATCCTGCCATCAGCCTGGGAAGCCCAGGATGAACCCTTGCTTCAGCTGGTACAACTTTGAATGGAATCAAATGGCTCAGCTGAAGGGAAGAGGTGCATATGCTCCTCCTGGACACTGGTGGATGGGGTAAAGGGAGTCTCCATGGGGTCCCCTGCAATGGGGCACACTGATGGTGGTTTGCATGCTGCAGAGCAGGAAAGCTGCTGGAGTTCTGATGACCTTAGCTAGGTGTCCACCTTGAGCTTTGCAGCCTGTGTTAGGTGTGGCAGAGGCTTCCTGAGCAGGTTCCTTCGGGAGGATACCTTCCCTGAGGCTGCCTGTCAAGTCTCAGTGCCTCCCAACAAAACCCAGCATTGCTGAGCCTCCAACATGGCTAAAAGATGTGGGTTATTTGCTGTCTGTTGTCATCTTGCTGAATACATTTACCTTTTGAACAAGGTCCCTCTCATATGCTCAGGAGGCTGGTATGCAGGCCCGTTAATGGATCAAGAGGAAAAATGCCTGTGGATGTATTCTCCTTTGTGTTTGGGCTTATAACCACCCACGTTTTGGCATACATCCCTTCTGTGCACAAAGATCTTTTAGAAATTGCTAGTTAAATCTCCACCCTCCTTTGATATGTATGGAAATAATGGGACACGTGAGACTGTTTTCTGTTTGGAAAAAAAAAATCTATAAAGGGAGTAGCTTTAAAAGCCTGTGTTCACCCTTTTCTAACTCATGAGTTTAATGAAAGAAATGCCCTGAATTTCTGACTGATTTACTTAGCTTTCTGGGAGGCATGCATTTAGTGCTGTATCCAAATACAGGGGAAATGTTTTCATCTGAATCTGTCCCAGGTTTGCTGCTTAGGGGCAGGAGGAGAGCTTGAGCACACGTGTCTGTTTCTCAGTGACCTCAGAGAATCTTGGAACAAATCTTGGTCCCCCTGACCAGGAACAGTTCTCCCTTCTTCAGCACAGATTGATGCTTCTTGGAGTGGCCCATGGCTGAGCTGGCATAACCATGGACACCTCTGAGCTGCCTGCTCTGTCCTTCTGGCTCATCCTGCCTCACAGCCTCTTCCTAAGAGGCATCTGATGACTGCTGCTGGGTGCTTTCTCCTATCAATGGTGTGCAGGGATGTGCTCCTCCAAGGTCTCCACTTACTCTGTTCTCATGTGCTCAGCCATCCCCTCCTGGAACTGCAGCTCTGCTTCAGAGCAGTTTCTGTCCCTCTCTGACATAGCAGGACTCGTATTTCATGAGCACATGGTAACACAGTGTGTTAAGGCCAAAAGGAACTATGGCTCATCTGTTATGGGATATTGGGACTGTAGAGTGTCACCTAGCTTCCATATGGAGCCTGGGAGCTCTTTAACTGAAAGAGGATAATTTTTCTGTGGCATCCACCCTCAGTTATGGAGGTTGCAAGACATGGAGAATCCACCAG